ATGAGCATGCATTACTTTTAATATTGGAAAAAAATACTTCATTTAAAATAACTTAAAAATTGACTTGAAATACAAATAGTCCCTTTTGGCAACTATAAGCATTGGTTAAATGAGCTAAGAAGAAGTATTCTGAATTGTGGGAAAATATATTAATTGTAACTTCTAATAATTTGTTTAGTTGTCATTGTGTGACCTACTGGAATTTATACCGAGGACTGGACATGTTTCATGTTTCAAAAGACAATATTTGCTTTTTATTTGCCTTTGATTTAAAAAAAGCAAGGAAAAGGATTTTTATCAAAGTCAATCAGATAAATGTAATCCAATTATAAAAAGAAATTTGCCCTTGACCTAACGTTACTTCAAAGAGAGGAATTTTTCTATCTTTGGGAATTCTACACAGCATACCATGAGGGCGTCTCCAACCGGCCTCCAGACTGTCATGTCAGGAACCCCAGGATGAAACATTCTCAGGGGGTCTGGCCGGCAAGGGTTGGATCTTCAAAGGAAGCCCATAAACCTGGGAACATCTGAGGGGCGCTCCCAGGATGACATCCAGGGCGAGCTCAAGTCTCCTATGGCCGTCCCGGGACCTCACGTGGGAGGAAAGCAACTCGCTTTACTGCAAGCCTCACATCTCCCTGCTCTTTTATCAAAAGACCATTTCCAAGAGTGTCTGAGGTATTGCATTCATCTACTTTTCTAAAACTAGGGTGTTGTAAAAATTTTAAAACACAAATTGATCGCTTTTCTTTCTTTTTCCTCTAAAACTAGGGCTTTTGTTATAAAAATAATACTTACTGGAAAAAAAGCACCTTCTAACAGAATGGAAGAATATAAAAGAAAAAGTAACTCCACCACTCTAGTCTCTAGAGATAGCCCTACTAACACTTTCCAGTGTATCCTTCCAGAAATTTTACATGTACAAATACATATTTAATAAATTAAATGTATTTGTGAATATATGTCTATGCCTGTGTATGTTTTAAACTTATTTGGAGTTATAATTTTACATAGTACTTTTAACGTGGTTTTGTCACTAGACAATAAATTCAATTTAAAAATGTCTATGTAAAAGTAAAGAATCATTCTATTTATAGAAAACATATTTTCGAACATGTATTCTCTGACACATGAGAAAAGAGAGGAAGTTCCTGATGAGGGAAGTTCATGAACACAGAGCGTATAATCTTCATTAAGTATAAAAATGAAGGTTTTAGTTATAAATCAAAGTGACTTAATCAGAAGACTAAATTCTTCCAGAACAAAGCCTTTCAACCTAAATTTTCATGATTTACAATTACAGAAAATCATTCCAAGTATATTTTCTCCAGACACAATTATGTAATTGCATAAGAATAAAAAACTGCCACGCCGTTAGCTCGCACCGTCCACTGCTTATTTGTGAAGCTTGTGTGCCTCTCTCTTCTTAGCACCAGGCACAGTCGTAAGGGGGCTTGCAGTTTATGGGGCAAGGGCCGTATGAGTAAGGAGATGGTTACAACATGGTAGAAGTAATAATGGCTACACGTGGAGGTCTAAGCCCTGTGCATCTATCAACAACCCCACGAGATAGGGAGGATTCTTGTCCTCGTATCACAGAAGAGGAAACTGACCCACAGAGAAGTTAGATGACTTGCCCAGGTTGCATAGCTATCTCCTGGGAAGCAAGGACTCTGGTTTGCTTTCTTATCAGTATGCCAACCTGCCTGAGGGAGTGGAGTGGAGGGGCTGCTCGGGGTGCACGGAGGAGACAGGGAGGAATTTGGAAGGCAAGAGTCACTCTCAAGTCGAACAGTAACTTAGTGAGGCAAAGCGGCAGGGAGAGGGGAGAGGAGGCGAAGGAGTGGGGGCACCAGTGAAGCCCCATCCTCTAAAGGTCTCGGTCGAAAAGGGAAGTGGACGTTGAAACCCCAGCAGAAACCCTGGAGTGGATAAAGAGAATCCATGAACTTGTGGGTGGTACCCATCTTCCTGCCGTGTTTGGCTTGGTGTGGGGTCAGAGGGCAGTGAGGTGAAGGGACCTGCTGGGCATGGCACCACCTATGCCCCTTTGGGATGTGAGGTGCCGAGAACTAGCACTCCTGCAAAGGTGGGCTCAGGCGCAAGAGGCCTGGGTTGTAGGTGTCCAGTGACTGCAGATGGAAGCCCCTAGAGGCTGGTGGGCTGGACGAGACCAGCTGTGCCACATGCCTGCAGAAACCCACCAGGGCGCAGAAAGCAGCGTGTGCCTGGTGCTGCTCACCCTCTGCCCTGGCCCGCAGCTGACAGCGTGAGGATCTGGAATTTCTCCTCGTAGTCAGATGCCATAAGGAGAAGAAAAATGGGGCAAGATTCTTGAGAGGCAGACAGTTGAACTGACTCCAAATTTACTCAAAAGAGACAGTTAACCTGAAAGAAACTATTTTAAACCAGAAGAGACAGAGTTACCTATAATTGGCAAATTTAAGTTTTTCTTATACTGTGAGTGAGAGCAGGAGTCTGAGAACAAGGTTAGCGACTGGAATAGGGGTTCTGATATTCTGGATAACAGAAATACATGCTATTTTTAAGAACTAAAGCACTGGTATCGTTGCTGATATATACTGCCTTTACTGTGATATATTTCTAACAGCTTTATTGAGGTATAATTGA